CATTTATATAATGGCTAATTACATCTGTGGAATAGGAAACCAATTCTCTGTGGGTGGCCCATATTACATTGAAGTGTATTACACACGTATATTCAGAGCCAATTACGTAATCACCAGTCTACTGGTCATCATTCAATAATTCATGGGTATCTTATGTTTCAGTACAAAAAGCTACAGGTAAAAGACTAATTTAATGTCTGATAACCTTCTTATGACTAAAGTATGGATGGAAAAAGCTGCCATAAAGGCGATAGGAAGACACGCTGTTTTGGGAATGGCCACTCACATCTGATGTAATCTACATATTCACATATTCATGGATTGCAGGTAGTGAAAGGTTGTCAAGTTGTGCAAATGTACCTTGTTCTCTTTGCTTCTTACAAATGACTTTGCTGTTTTGTTGGCCTTATTATGCACGTTTTTAAGTTATGAGAGTAGATTACACTCACTTCGTTTTCGTGTTAGTTTCTTGCAACCATTTGGTTGAGAATAGATGCACTCCTTTCTAGTACAGAAGTTAGCTCAGAAGTTAGGGCAAAACAATGTGGCATACTGTCTGCGTTATATGTCATTATGAGGTCAGATTTTATATACAATGTATACTTCTTGGCTGTGTGATTCAGTCTACCATCATAAATAAGCAACATAAAGAAAAACATTTGAAGGAGTTGAACAAAACTCAGTACAGCTGCTTAGTCCAACTGTTACCAGAAAACGCGTGGATGAACTTAGGTTTGGAATGTTTCATCATGGAAAGCAAACCATCCCTTGAAAATGTACCATCAATGACGACTGCTACTAGGGACCATCATTGTAACTCCTCTACTATATTTACATACACATTCACTGTGTAGATGGTTTCAGCTCACAGCAAACCCTATACAGTTTGAATATGTAGTAAGTAGTAGATGCCTACGGGCAACCTCTTCTGTGTGCGTGACAGCTGTCAGAGAATCTGCCACAACATATACTTAAGGTAAATATGTTATTCGTTGCAAAGGAAGAAGCAAATGTGAATTTCTCTGTACATTGCAAAAGTAAGAAAAAAGAATGCAATAGTTCTCTCCTTGCAAGTGTCATGCGAGAAGATGTCATCTATCATCTATGATGTTTTCCTGCAACACCTTTTTTAATAATTCCTTAAGGATGGAACTATGGACAATACTAACCCCAGCCACTGCCTATATAGCCTTTTGATTTTCGTAGCCAAACTGATATGTGTAAAAAGTATTGCTACTTACTCGTTGGTATAGATTATAAACATTAATAAACATATTTCTAGGGATTGTTGATAAGTGCGACAATGGATATCATGTACTTGTTTGTTGGACGTAGTGTGTCACAGGAATATTTCTATTTTGATAGAAAACATGAAAGACAGCTGAAAAATACCATTCATTTGGGCATGTACATGGGTGAAAATAATTACTGTTTTTAGTTTGGTTAAAAATATTCGCGTAAAGCTACATAAAGGACTATCTGCGCATGACCGTCCCTAATTGTGAACTGATAGATCAGAGGAAAAGCAGTTAGTCAATAGCACCCAGTGCCGACTCTTCAGCCACTCTTATCTAACCAAACAGTAAGTGCTCCCACGGCCTTAAGACGCGGAGCGCGTGTTTTCGGCAACGTAAAGCCAATCTTGAATCCTCTGATTCACAGTCTGGGCACGCTAACTATTATTTCACACACAATCTAATATCGAAAAATCACTGATTACTTCACGAAACAACAGTACAGTTCCAAGAAATCAGATACACATAAATAGGGTTGTTTTTGTTTGTTTGTTTGTTTTTTAATTATGCACAAAGCTACACAAGGGTTATCTGTGCTCTGACCACCACGGGTATCGAAACCCGGATTCTAGCGTTGTAAGTCCGCAGACATACCGCTGTGCCACTGCGGGGGCACACATAAATAGGGAGCGAATATAGTTGTTACTGTTGAGTACCCATGGAGTCAAAAAGATATCTCAAATTCTGCAAGTAACAAAAGTTTATTATTTACATAATCGAGCTATTTAACACTGCAATAAGTATCTACAAATTAATAACAAACAATCACTGTAAAACGAATTATCACATGTGCTTACAATTAGGACCTTTTAAAAATATTGAAAAATTAAGGTGGAATTAATTTCAATTCTTAACAATCTAACTCACATGTTTTATTCTTAACTTAAAATGACATATTTCGAAAGGTGATGATAGCTGACAAATTGCGCATTTTGAAGTGCAGTAATATTTGCACAGTATAAATGGCCTCAAAACACTCACTTTAATAGGTGCACAATTTCTGTAGAGGAGTAGAAAAAAAATTTATGTTACAATAAGAAAAGTCTGTTAATGCAAGAACAACGCAGGAAAAATAATCGTTCAACATTAGAACGCTGCTTAATACACATATAAATGCTTCAATTTTGTAACTGAATGCTCTTACTTCAACGTAACAGGTCTAAATAAACATGGAATTATTTTTATGTCTCCACAGAGATACTTACTGTTTTTCTCTTGTTTTGCACCCCGCTAGAAACCATTTCTGTAGCTTTGTGCTTAATTTCAAATAAAAAAAAACAAGTTTTTTGTCAATTTTTTCTTTCTTCTTCCAAACACTTTTCAATCGACCGCCATTCCTTCATTTATCGACGGATTGACTTGAAACTCGATAAGGTTATATCTTGGTTCTATATGCCCAGATATATTTTTTTAGGCCTTTATAACGATTTTATGGGATCAAAAATCAAATAACACAAAATGTATATTTTGGGCTTCCGTGCAGTCATGTTTAGAGCAATAAAGAGAAATTTGACACAAATATCAATTTTCATACGCCCAACACATTGACGTATAAAAAAGTTGGAATTGCCTTCTTTCAATGTCTTAGGAAGGTCAGAGGTCACAAAAAGCATAATTAATCGGTCATATTTTAACCAATTTACGTGAGATCTAGTACAAAGATATTTTTCTGCAGATCTCACGTATTGACAAAGAAAAATGGTGGACTTGCCCATTTTTAGCAATTTCAGGAGGTCAGAATGCCACAAAAAGCATAAATTTTAAAATTAATCCGCCGTATTTCTGTCAATTTACATGGGATTTGGTACAAAAATACTTTTTTATACAGATCCTTTAATATACATACAAAAATGTGGGATATGTCTATTTTTGGTAATTTTAGAGGGGCAAAAGGTTAAATAAAGCCATAATTTTAGGGGTTTTGTTCAATTACTTAGCCATTGTTGACCAATTTACATTGAGATTTATTACAGAAGTACTTTCTGCAAGTCTCAAACAGAGATATCTAGAACTTTGG